TTAGATGTCTGGATCWGTTTTTGCACCTTTCTGAAAAACCTTCACCACTTTACAGTTACCTAGTAACATTCATGCCTTTCTCTAACACACCTTCTATAAGCAATTTCATGTACCCTATCTTTCAGACCCCTCGGTTCAAGATCAGCCAGTCTACTGCCATCTGTCTCCTTCTTTGTGCTAAATTTGTTCCTCTTTTTCCCACTGGCCACTTAGCCAAGCCCAGCCGCTGATAGCTGCAGCAGCGGAAATGTGTTTCCTTGGTTTCAGGACTGCATCTCTCACCTCTACTATGCCCTTACCGCACAATGGCTGCGTTACTTGTCTTTCCTGGCTCTCTTGGTGGTTTAGACTGCTGAAWAACTCTGGGAGATCTAACATGCCTCACATTAGGAGGCAAAACAAGGTTCAGAAAAAACTGTGACCACTTGAGTTTCTGTAATACTCATACAATAAAAGTTTTACCGAAGTGAATACAACTGCTTGCATACAACTGAGTTTGGTATTTAGCAAAGCAGTTCATGGATTTATGTTGCAAGGCCTTTTTTAGGTTGTGTTTTTTTAATATATGCATTTTATCAAAAATAATAAGGAACACCACCACTGAATGAATTCAGAGTTGTTCACAATATTTTATATACTGTGGGGAAGTCTTCCCAGAAAGCAAAAGAAGCAATAAAAAGACACGAAGCACGCTGGGGCTGCTAGCTCAGTGTATTTGGCAGAAGACACTCTTGTGCTGCTTTCCAAGACTTTGCAAACCATAAATGCGAGACAGAATTGAAGAAATTGTTGAGATTCACAGTGCAATCTGACACACACAATATTGCAAACTGCTCTTGGGAAATATTAATGTACAAGCCTAAGGAGTTGCAGGAGAAAAGTGGATACGGCAACAACTCTGCCATGCTGAGAAAAAGAAATCCTTCAATATGATCACAGTGATGTGTCCTCATGAGATATTTTCACTGTATCTTCATTGGAAAAAGCAGTGGGCTCCTCTGGGGTCCCTTCCAGCTAGCACCAGAATTTGTAGGGCACATGTGTTCATAGTGTCCTCCCATACTGCTGCCACCAGGCACATGCTCTGGCCTTGCACTTGGAAGGCAATGCACAAGACAGTTCATCCATCAGTTTCTGTCAGTTATCCAGGCTAATTCCACTCTTTTTAATTTCTGCAGGTTGCCTATGAATAGCACACACCCAGACATTTTCCAACACACAGGTGAGATAAAGTTGATGACTCGCAATCAGTTCTAAGGGTGGAGTCAAGACCTTTAATCACAGAGGGATCCCACAAACCAATATGGCATAACTTTGTATTTACAAGACATTATTTAACAGGGCCAAAATAGAGTCAGTCTTGGCAGAAACACATTCCTATGCTTAATCTAGAAGGAAACCTTTTGTGTTGCAGGTATTCTAGTTGCAGCTACCATCCAACACGTCCCACCACCTYTTTGTAGTATCAATCTTCAATCACTTGAAGTATGACATTTTAACCATTTTTTTAAAAACTGCATATACTGAAAAAAACAACACAAAGCCTTTTGAAAGAAGAAATACTTCAGCTGTTTTCTAAATTAAGTTGTTGGAAAATAATGGTGGTTCACTCCCCTTAAAAAACTCCTACAATTATCAGAGTAATTTTAAGGGAGCTGGACAAAGGGTAGCCAGGATAATGCATCTGTGCCTTGGGCTGTATTCATGAAAATGTATCCAAATTCTAAGCTGSACAATTCTATATGTGTTGGATAAATTTTCTTTAAAATATGCAGATATTAGGGCTAAGTCTCAGATCTGTTAAGTGGCCCAGGTAGACTGCTTATATTTTGCATCAGACTTACTGCTGTCTCTTCTGAAAAAAACAGAGCTCTGAGCTCTAGGACAGGTGTGACAAATAGCTCTGCAGAGCTGTCTCGAGTTTGAGTGTTTGTGCACACTCTGGCCATGGTACCCAGACATTTCCAACAACCTTTAAGTGATCRCCTTCCAGCCAGCGTAGCCTCTTTMCAATGYTAGASGGAGGYGMCTGCGACCCAGAATGTGGGCTTCCCAGGTTCTAGATCTTTCTTCTAAACACAAGAGTGGCTTTTCTCCAAGATAAACACAGCAGGTGCRGCTTTTCCTTTTTCTCCTGTATTTGCTGCATAAGTATTTGGGGGCTGTACAACAAATACCCAGTTTGCAACATAGCTAATCATAGCTAATTAAGACTGTGTCAGTCAGGAAAAGAAAAGAAAAAAAAAAAAAGTAATATCAAAATTACCACATGCTTAAAACCCCTCCTGATCTTCACAGCAGTGACATTTTGATAATGATGATGACTCTGCCTTCACAAAGAAAGAGCTCATTATTTTTGAGATACATATTTCTACATCAATTTCTGAAAGGAAATGAACCTTACAATCAACTATAATTGGAATGCTCTCCTCTGCTGTCTTAATACTCATCAACAAAATATAACAAAGGTAACAGAAAAAATCTCTCCATCAAAATATAAAACACTGCAACTGCCACTTGCTTAATACATATCCTCAAGAGAGGTCTGTGAAACATAACAAAAAGCTAAATATTCAGTTACTTTATCAGAGACCCCCAACTGCCATGCCCCAAAGTACAACTACCCACTTGGCCATCTTTCTAAAGAGCACTGTAGTTTCCCTTCCCCAATGCAGAACACGTGTCCAAAAAAGAAACAAAATTTTATGCTTTCCGCCTGACACCATGCTCATGATTGCAACTAGGTATCAAGACCAGCACCGATAGATTTTCACACACCCTTTTTCTTCATTCACGGCTTTTCCTTGGCTTCAGTCAACTTTGTTCCTTGCCTTGATCCACAAGTGTKTAGGGAACTGAAGCAATTTATCCACCAGAATGAAGCAAGTATGAACCACTATGAAGTATGAACCAGAMTGAAAGGAGTCTGGTTTTCTTCAGACTTGCAGTTTTCTCAGTACCTCAGACATCCATATTCTCCATCTTCCAATAATCAGTATATTTATTACACACTTAGCAGCTGAGACAGCAGCAGCTGTTTACACAAAAATTCTTTCCTTTAAGGAGTTGTGAGGTCCAGGTATAAACATAGTACTTTATGACTGTGTCACAGCATGGCCAAGATGTGCACTAATGGTGGCTTTTGAGAAAATGAAAATCAAATTCATCTCTGGGTTTAAGGGGGTGCCAGGGTCAGTATGAAAATCCAAACCTATAAACAACTTGAGAAACTAGGGGSTCTAAATAACCCAAGTGCTGTATGAAGCAGGTATTAGCCAGATTTTGTGTTACCTGGAAATTTCTTGTGTCTAACAGAAGACTCTTTAGATCTTTCTAGATGAAACYGTATCAGAAAATCAAAAAGCAAAAGATTCAGGATATGAATCTGCTCYCCACGCACACACAAATTGCTTGGGCAATGTAATCGCACTGACCCAGCCAGCTCTGCATACAAGTTTCATCTTGCACGCAACAGAGTCAACATGCACTGTGACTGCTTGGCTGGGMTTTCTGGATTGTTGTACATCTGAAAATCCTGAACAAATTACAAAAGCTGACAGAAAAATGCAAGAGGGGAGCAAATAACCCATAATGGCAACCTGTCACAAAGTACAACAGCTCTGATAGAGGTACCTTCACTTTGGCTTTCTGAACAACAGCTGAGCCACCATGACATTAGGACACCACCCATATTCATCCTTGGTGTTTTCCTTCCTAGTTAATTATTTAAGTGGCTTTCTCAGGCTAGCTCTGTAAACCAAATCTGTCTATGAGATTTCCTTGTGAGGCACATTCACTAGCATGCTAGCAGAGGAAGATCTAGGAAAGCTTACTAGATCTACTAAAATTATGTACTATTAATAGTATTGTACAATAACATAACTTTTTATATATAGCCTCAAGGCTAAACATATCAAAATGAATCACAGCTGTTTCAGTGAAACACAGCAGCTCTATTCACTCATTCCAGCACCAATTTCACACCGTGGATCACACTGAAGCATCAGCCGGAGGCATTTACCACCAAAACACTGATGGGGTGGGTGCTCCAGCCAAAAGCAGAAGGAGCAGGAGCTAGGCTTGGGAAAGAGTGGGTCGAGAGTCCCTTGGAGAGGGGGCAGTTAAGGTATACGTTCATCCCCGAGCTCTATCCTTTATTACTGTTCACATCAACTGCTCAATTAGCCTCCACTCCACAGCCATCCTCCTACACACAGGTTTCCCCTAAGAAAGCACCGCTGAAGAGCACAAGGGCTGCCCTCGTCCCAAGATCCCAAACAATACCTGCTCTGGAGAAATATACGCATATATACATAGGAAAAGCATACAGATATAGATAGATATATATATATATATTTCCATACATATGAGGAAAAGGCCTGCGCCCCCGCACCCTCATGGCGGTAACACACGGCCCTGAGATGGGCCCGTGCCGGCTAGCCGCCCCCAAACCGGAGAGCCCCGCTGGACCCTGTCCGTCAGCCCCAGGAGAGAGCTCCAGCCCAGCCCGGACCCGAACCGCCCGCCGCTCTCCGCTCCCCGCGGGCGGCTCCGGGCCAGCAGCAGGAACGGGAACAGGAAGCGGGGCCGGCGGGGCCGCGGCTGCTCCCCCTGGCGGCGGGCCGGGCTGGGGCGGGGCGGGGGCGGTGCCTCCGCCGGCGCCCGAGAGGCCGCTTCTGCCGGCGCTTCCCTGCCCGCCCCCGCCTGGCGCTCCCTCCCTCCCCTACCCCCTCACTCCGTCCCTCCCTCTTCGGCCGGGGCAGCAGGAAGCGGCTCTGATGTCAGCGGCGGCGGCCGCGGCGCGGCTCTGAGCGCCTCTCCCACCCCCGCCGCGGCCCCCTCGCCCGCTGCCGCCGCTGGGGCTGGCGGAGGAGCCCGGCTGCGGCCCCGGGGGCGCCGCCTTCTCTCGCCCGGGGACGCGCTGCCGAGGCGGCCCCGAGCTGCGCAGAGGCCGCGGCCTAGGGCAGTCGGCGCGGCGCCCCGCGGGGGTGCGGGAGGGCGCGGGATGCGCAGCGGCGGCGCCGGGGCCTGTGCCCGCCGCCAGTGAAGCCCGAGGCCGCCGCGGATGCGGCCCCGGCGGCGCCTGGGCCAGGCCCGTCCCGACCTGCGCCAGGAACCGCCGCCGAGCCCCGCGTAGCCCCGGCCCTCGGCTGCCCAGTGCCGGACCCTCGCGTAGCCCCGGCCCCCTCTCCTCCCTGCCGTGAAAGAGGAGGCATGTCCGCTGCCGCCTCCGCTGAAATGATTGAAACCCCCCCGGTCCTCAACTTCGAAGAAATCGACTACAAAGAGATCGAGGTGGAAGAGGTGAGTGAGGGTCCCGCCGTCTCCCTCACCCCCTCGCTCCCCGGGCACGGCCAGCCCGGCCCCCGTCTCGCAGACCCCGAGCGCCCCCGGGTTCCTCTCCCCGGTGCCGTCCCCACCTCTGCGGACGGGGCCGTGGGCACTTCCCGGGTGCTCCGGGATGCCGGGACCCCCCCAGTGTACCTGGCTGGRGGTTCTGTGCTCCCGTGGATGCTGCAGCGGCTGGCACCAGCGAACAAAGGCGGTCTGGCTGGGAGCGGAGGTGCCTGCTTACTCTGCCGGCCCTGCTGCCGTATGCTTTACTGTGGAGTTTTATTTAAACGGGATAGATTTAATCAGGACTTGAAAGTTTCTCTGCCCATTTTGCCACCCACTTTAGCCTCGATGGCATAGTTGCCAAGCGTTGTCCCAAAAGGGAACTGTTAATTCTGATGTCTCTTTCGGATCTCTATYTCTCTATGCCCCTGCATTCACCTTTTGCCACCAAACTGAGCTATTGCATATATGATGATCATGCCACTCTTAATGATTTGCTAAATTTACAGCTCTACGAGCTGTAAGGAAAAACAGGTTTTTTTCCTTACTATAGACTAGTGATGTTGCACTCACRGATGTGTGCACATTTCRTTTGTGACCAATGTATGTTACCCAGGAAATTACATTCAGTTACTGTATAACATGGTTGGAAGSAAGTTTTTCTTCTGTGGAAAATCGCGTAGTAAAGTTATTTCAGATGTACCTTTCATCTCTCTGGGATTCCTGTGAAAGTAGGGTGGGTGTGATTTAGGATAGCTTGCGTGCTTTAATAATGGGCACAATAGTATCTATATACTATAGTGTTGCTTAACTCTCAGAATCACACGGAAATATTGCTACTATTGAATTTTTCCCGTCCTAGTCTCCTAAGTTCTCTACAGTACTGAAGTTGTTTTAACATAGATCCATAATTAATTTGATGAGGCCAACTTGTAGACCTAACAGGCCAACTCTGGACCTAACAGGCATCCAAGGCTATGAAATAGTCTCTGCTTTTATTTGTAGATTAACATCTTTCTTTTTCAGTAATAACTGCCCTCTTTTTCTTAAAAAGTTTGTGTGGAAGTGGACTTAGTTTTGTGGAGTAGCTTTTATAGGTAAGACAACCTGTGTTKGTTCATAATTCAACATACTGGTCTTGGGTCATCCTGGGAAAGTTCACAAAGCTTCACAAAAAAACTGTTAAAATCTACAGTGTTTCCATAGAACACCAGAGTACTTTCTGCTGTGTTCAGATAGTACTGCATTAATGTTGGCTTTCAGCATAGCAGGAACTGGAAATTTTCAGAAGACAACATCTTTCAAAAGATTGCCTGTATCTCTTTCTATGAATATGGCAATCATGATGCTTTGTAAGTCTAATTGTTCCACTTCCTTTTATGCATGTAACTGTTCTGAAGTGAAGGTATTTTTGCTGGTTTTGCAACACTTACTAATAGCCAGGGATCAAATCACATGTTTTGGGAGAAATGGCRTTTCTCACCCAACAAAGAAAGTTTAACTGGCTAAGAATTTATTCATCATAAAAAGGTACCCAGTGATGGCTCATAGAAGTGAGTAGCACATCTGCTGTGTTAGATATAGCAGTTTGAATGAACAAAGTGCTGTACAAATTGTTAATCCTCACAACACCCTTGGGGAGGTTGTTAGCAAGGATTATATTGCTATTTTACATATAGGAAAYGTGGAGCTGTACAGTGTGTCAGTGGTGTAGTCGCACAGAGCTTGTCTGTGTTCCGTGTGTGTGCCTGGCACTTGCAGAAACAGGACTATCTGCACAAAAATGTACCTAGAGACGAGGCCTAAGTAGAAATTTCTTTAATGTAGTTGTTGTATTATTTTCAGAACAGTATCTTTTTTAAAGATGTATGTCACAAAACTCATGTAATAAAAGCAGGAGAACTCTGATAAAGGGCTGTCTCCATAAAAAAAAATCTGGGGATAGCTGACATAGTCTTTTGAGTGTACCTGTCCTGCCAAAAGTTCTTATACACAATTGGGATGCCATAGTGCTGAAGACAGTCTAAATGTCATTGCACAGAGGAAGAAATAAGACCTACTTYACAGTAAAACAGAATTGGAAACCATACTTAGACCTTGCTTTTCTCAGCTGTGGATGTTGACCTCTTACTCATGATGCAGTTACAGCACAAATAGTCAACTTTGCCGTCATAACAAAACACACATCCTTCTGAGGATTTGTTCTCACTTTGGCCTGGAAGTTTTCAAGTGGCTGTAATATCTCAAAATGGTCATATTTATGCTTGGCAAACTTCAAATATTTCAAAGTAAAATGTTAAGATATCTWCATTGGAAACTCGAACACTATTATAATCATAGCTTTACTGTTGTATTAKCAAGGCTGTCTGGTCAGCAGATAGCAGTCCCACACTGCCACTGGTTTATTAATAGATATTGAAGTTCTGGAATGCTTGTAGGCCTGGAGACCTTGCTAATAAATGTAAGATCTGTAAGTGCACTTTCATTTAGGTTTGTCTGAACTCTAATGGATAAAAACAAGAATATACCATATTTTGCTTTAGCTACCATGCACATGACTAACTACTATAGTGTTACTTCCCTCCWGTCAAACATGTCTACAGCTGGATTCAGGCTGCCTTTTTGTTATTTCAAGTGCTTAAAAGGGGGTAAGATATAGAGACAATTATTATGGAAGTGTTGGAGTCAAATCAAAGTTGATGTGACAGCATGAGCATCTTCAAAACTAGGAGGGGAAAAACAACATAAAACTTACGTTCAACAGAAACATTCTCTGTTTTACTATGCAAGTTTTTGATTGTGAAAATGTCCTTTTTAAAAGCTTTTAGATATTAGACAAATCATTAGAAACTGAACTTACAAAATGTAATATAACTGAAATCAAGTTTACAATAAAAAGCCTAATAGCCTTATTTGAAAATCTCATATTCAAATCTAGCTTAAACACTCCTGTCTTTTCGTYCCAGAGGAGTTTCCACATCTAAGCAACAAACACTGTTTGATTTTTAATTGTTCTGGCAGCCTATTCCCTGCCACTCTCCCCTGAAAATTCCACAGGCCTTCCTTCATCATGTAACTGGATAACAGTTTCATACATGATCAAAACATAGACCTCTTCATCACATGATGTGTTATGCCTTGGATTGCATAGCCAAAGATACATGTCTGGTCATGTATACAGTGGCCCTGCCCAGTTCCTCCATGATGTAGCCAGATTAAAAACTAATGCCATATTTGCATAGTTGCAAGCTACAGTTGGGCAGTCTGAAAGTGTAAATTACTTGAAAACTGTTGTTTAGTGCTCTGCTGGTATTTTGCAGTTTACAGTGAAGTTTATTTTCAACAACCTGGTGGGCAACAGTAGTTAATTATAAGAGAATTAGGGTAATGTTTTCTCTAAGATGAAGAGGTAAGCTTTACAAATATTTCTTTCAAAAAACTTATTTAAGATCCCGGCAGCTAAGGAGGTACAATTTATGGTATGTCMACCTATCTTAGATATTTTTGAAATAGTTGGATTGTTTCATTTACTGAGTAGCATGCAGAGAACTACATGTGTTCCTTCAGATTCTGAAGCAGAGCAKTTCAGAGGCAAGAGAATAAGCAGTACAGCAAGGCAACTGCGTTTTGCTCCCCTTTATATAGTTAAGTTTTAAAAGTTAATGAGATGCAGTGGCTCATTATGTCCAYTATAAGGTAAAGCAGATTTGTGTAAGCTGCTGTTGAGCATGAAGCTGTTACTACCTCTGTTGTTTCTATATGCTGGGGAATCATCTCTAGTTGTAGAATAGCAACCTGAAAAATTGAATAAATTTGGACAAGAAACAGATGGGATTTGAGATCTGAACAGCATTGCAGAATGTTGACATGAGTACAGAAGGTTTGGTTCTCAAGAACCAAGGGTGGAAGTTAGAAATCCATTTGAAATCAGTTGAATTTCTCAGCCTTTTTCAGTAAGACTTCAAGATKCAAAGCTGGATATTCAAAAACAAAGGCAAAAAAAAAAAAGTACATGGTGAAAACATATGCCAGTATTTTCTCTGATTTTACTCTAAATACATTTTTGAATTAATTCAAATAACTATTTAAATTTTGTTTAGTTACACCAATGGAAGATTCTCTTCATTCATCTACATAAACAAATAGCTGAAGTGTCAGGTGGGTTGTCAATTTATAGTAGAAGTCATGCAACACCAATTCTTTGTGGATTTAATTTACTGTGCAGTAAATCAGAAGATGGCTAACAAGACTGTTAACAAGATAGTTAAACAGTTAACAGGACACTTTACACTTATTTCTAGTCACACAAATATATTCAATGAATCAGTTTGTGTCCTGTAAAATAGACTCATACCTTASTCTCGTAAAGAATACATGGGAAAGAAACCGCAGAGACCTTCCTGTTCCAGTGATGAAAGCAAGATCCATATTTATGAGATAATAATAGAGTTCTATGTCTAATGCCTTTCCCTAAGAAAAACACTAAAACAACAGAGCAAGTTTCAGGTGTCCCTTATTTGTTCCACCCGGTAGATTGTAYCAGTATTTTACTGGCTGCAGAATATTTGTTTCTTTCTTGATTTGGTTTGTTTTTTTTCCCAAAGACCAGTAATTTTAGACAGTGCCAGACCAGGAAGCCCAACTCACTTTGGAGTCCTGCTCCCTGAGTGCCTCATTACTCAACATTTCATTTCTAAAACAATTATCCGCTCTCTGGGCTGCTCTAGCAGAACAAGTGGATTCATTCTAGAACATGAGACAGTTGTTTTGGTAATTTTTTTAAATTGCTGGTAATTAAAATGAGTTCAGTTCTCAAGATAGATGTATAAAACCCTATCAGTGCATAAAAGCTTTTCAGTATGTAATAAGCCAGAATGAAAGTATAACTTGATAAACTATTATCTTTGTGATGCATGCATTTCTAGGAATGACTTCAGCTATCAAAATGCAGAGAGGGTTCATTACAT